CTTTTATTAAATAGAGTTTTAAAGTTACAAAAGCGCGCAGCGCGAGTTATCTTGTACGCAGACCGCCAATCATCATCGGTAGGACTATTTAATAAGCTACACTGGATTCCTTTTTATGAACAATGTAATATAGACAAATGCTCTATTATGTATAAACGTATACATGGGTCTCTACCAAGCTATCTGGATGATCACCGAGTAATTAATCACAAACGTCACTCATGGAATACGCGGTACGCTAATAGCCCATTTCCGAATTACCCTTGGCCTCTTTTTCAAAACGAGGCCTAGTGCTCAACCATCCTTGTGAAAATAAGTTTAATTTGCATGTGAATAAAAACTTATAATCATATGAAAGGATGAGCACCAGGACTCGGTTTGAAAAGGAGGCCAAGGGTTATTCGGAAATGGGCTATTTCAACGCTATTTTCCCTAAATATAAAAGAGAAACCGAGGGTGGACGCACCTTTGCAGTATCAACTTCAAGACCCTGGGATAATGTACCCTTATCTATTAGGAAAGTGGATTCTGTAGCTTGTTTTAAGCACAACATGTGGAGTAAGTTTTTTAGGGACCAGCAACTTTTACACCATTTTCATATTTAGTGATCGAGTTTTATTAGAAAATCTCATGTTTTTTTTTTGTTTTTGTTTTTGTTTTTTTTTTTTCATAATTTTAAGTGTTATTCTATTTTTAACTTGTAATTAGTTGATTAAATCGGGGCCACAAGTTTATTAGCCTGTGGCAATTACGTGCTACCCTGTATAAATAAAGTCTTTATAATTCTTATTATAACAGAGCAAACCAGACAAGAGTTGCAACAGATGAAAAGTGAGGTAAAAAACATTAATGAAAAGTTGGACACCCAAATGAGAGATGGCACGAACAATGGAGGTAAACAACACAGCAAGGCTGGAGCGCATTATAGCTGCATAAGAATTATAATACTGTCGTGGACAAATGCCTAGAGGCCAATAAATATTTAAAGGAGTTACGTTAAAGTATGAATGTGCAATATTTCAAAGGATAAATGATTGAGAAGTGACACGCTAACTCCTACAACTTAGATTGGGAAGAAAGATAAGCAATCTGGATGCCACACTCGTGTGTTACATGGTACATATCAAATATTGTCA